GAAAGAAAGAAAGAAAGAAAGAAAGAAAGAAAGAAAGAAAGAAAGAAAGAAAAGGCAGGCAGGCAAGAAAGAAAGAAGGAAAGAAAGAAAGAAGGAACGAAAGAAAGAAAGAAAGAAAGAAAGAAAGAAAGAAAGAAAGAAAGAAAGAAAGAAAGAAAGAAAGAGAAGGAAAAGAGAACAAAGAAAGAAATAAGAACCAAAGGGGGTTTCAAGGCTGAGATTTTCCTCTTCAGAAAATCAGTTCATTTTGCAGTTACCCATGTCTTTTTTAAAAAATGAGCAAAAGAAACCAAATTGTCTGTAACCAACTGACAAGTGAATATGTGATTTACCTGTAGCAAGAGTTTGTGGAGGTAAAAATGCAGCACATAAAATGTCATCATGGTGCTGGACCCCTCCTTTCCATTCTTCAGACTGAATGAAAAATTGATTGAAGTTCTGGGGCCGAAACACAGTGACAGCTCTAGGACACAGAACATAGAATTTAGCTCTGTGTCTAACATTGATACAGATATTGAGTACCTGTTAGCCACTAGAATGATATCAAAGAAGGCTAAAGGATTTCTCCAAGTGTGTACCATGAAACTACTAAGACTTGTATGACAATACTAATAAAAATTTGGGTAGATCTATAAACAAATACTGCTTGGTAGTTTAAGCAAAGGTAATGAGATATCACAATAAAGATTCTCATGCTAAAATTCGTTATAACATTTCTGGGACTTAAGTGGCCACTGGGTCTTGAAATCTTTCGAGTTTTGAAGAACTACTACTTGTAGAACACACTTGGAAAGTGTCAATCAAAAGAAATGAGACATAGGATAGATACATCATGAACCAAAAAAATAGTTTAAGATAATTAAGTATCTTGAAACATTGCAAGCAAATTAGCAGACATGAATGGATAGGGAGAGGGAATAAATGCTTGGTGCCTAGAGGAGAAGGAAAGAAGCAACCATTAAATTGTGGCAGTGTGGCTACCTCGCTGAGTCCACTCCACAATCCAAGCTGCGGCTACCAGCATATGGGCAGCCTCTCTTTCCCTCCACAGCCACACGCATTTCAAATGAACATTTGTGACCATAAGCTTGGTGTCTTCACCTCCTTTTCTCTTCATCTTCCTGCAGTGTTTCTCTCCGATCTCTTCATAGGTTTCCTGATTGTCCTAGCAGTCTCAGACAGAGGGACTTTCTTCCCCTCACTGAGGTATTTTTGTCGCCAAAACTTCTTGCTTCTCCTCCTGCCTCCCTCATCTTTTCTTCCATGATGAGACCAATGCCTTCTTTCTTTTGCCCTTTCAGTACGAACATCGCTCGTTGTCTTGTTCTGCTCCTCTCTTTCCATCCAAGCAGGTTTAACCAGCCATCCAGAGTACTACCACAGATTCTAGTCTCTGTTCTGTTTAGATGGCTCTGAGCTAATCTTCATTCATAAGCTTTGCCGGTGTTGAATAGTTTCCATTTTCCTGCTGGCAGTTCCATGTAATGTATCCATCAGCAACAACTCTTAATAGACAAAAAATCAAACACTGCCATCTTCACTCCACTATCCCGGATTCTCAGATTTGATGCACATATCAGCATCACAGCATCCTGGGTGTCACTCTCTCCCCAGTCACATCAAATGCTTAGACTTTTGTTTCTGCCATATACTACATATTCAAAGCATGCTTTTATAATTTTACACAGCCAGCGATAGTTTCCTAGCTTAGGGTTCAGTACTCCGTGGCTAAACAGTTGTAACAACCTCCAAATCAGTTTCACTGCCTCTAATCTGCCTTCCTCTGACATGGTCTTCATTCTGTTCCTAGATTAATCTTTCCATTTGGGGGCTCCTCATGTTCACTCATTCCACATGCATTTCCTGCTTCCGTGTGAAATCTCTGTTCATGGATGCCTCAGACCTAGAGCTATGAACATAAAAGAACTAAAGGGAAATATGAAATGTGGCAAATGGTAAGAACTGCTGATCAGCTACCATGAGAGCCCAGAGAAGCTATCATGGATGGCATAATTCAGGGGCTGAGAGCCTGTAATGCGCAGGATCTGGAACAGGAAGCACTCCGAGTAGAATAAATAGCATGATAAAAGATGAGACCAATTCTCTATTTCAGAACCTTTTCTAGTTTTCATTTCTATAGGATAAAGTTCACATGTGTGAGCCTATGTCCCAAGATCCAATAATATATACATCCAGGTTATATCTTCAGAATTGTTTCTCTCTATTCTTCTACCCTGGCTTTGCAAATTTATATGTGAACATCCAGTTAAATATTTGACAGAGGCACTGGAAGCATTGGGTAAGTACAATATACCTTCTTAAATGGCAATGTCACACAGAGTATTGGGGGAGGATTTTTCTGTCAAAATAAAGATAGATGAACACAACAAAATGCAAATTTTCCCTAGATTTTAATGATAAAACATGTTTTGAAGTCAATTTCTTTGCTGAAGGAACTGTTTTGAACTTTCAGGGGTGGTTATCCAAGGGCTAAATTTCTGAAACATGCTTTATTTATTTATTTATTTATTTATTTATTTTGTAATTCAGGGAAGGGTCTACAGGGTGTTCAGGGTCTCACTACCAGATTGGACTCATAGTGATCTGCCTGTTTACATCTTCCTAAGAGCTGGGATTACAGGCATGTGCCACCATGCCCGGTCTGATTCATGGGCTCAGCACACACTGGGGGCGGGGCTGGCACAAACTCCCAGGCCCCAGTGCCTGCTTGCAGGCGCTTTAATCTGCTGAGCTATTTGGCTGGTCCTTCAAACATACCTTCTTGTCCAACCCAAAGTATAATCTTTTGTTCCTCTGAGAATCTTGTACATTTCTAACTTCTTTGTTTTTAATCACAGTGTTCTCTCCTGTCCTAATGTGGATTTTCTTTCCCATGCAGCCCCACACCTACTAATCCCCACACCTTTCTCTAAGCTTCCTTATTCTATCAGTCTTCCATAAGAATGAGGACTTCCATAGCTCCTTCTCCTGACCTCTTATTTCACTTATCTCTTACTTATGCAGCACCACTTCATGTTATATAACTTTAGCTCCTTGGCTAGACAGAGAAAGCCTTGGACACTAGGGATCTTGTCTGCTCTATAACCTATGTAGTTACACGGTGATCTACACACTGAGGAACTACTCAGCAGTCTGTTCAGATGAATGAGAGGAGTACAGCATCCGCCAAACCACCAGCTCCTGGGGCAGGACTTCCAGGGCCTCCTTATGGCAGCACTGTCTCCCGAGTCTCTCATCCTTATCCTTGTCCTTCTCCTTTGCGACACTTAAAACTGAATGGAATAATGCTGTGTTCATTTATCTGGTTTTTTTCTATCTTATCTACCAGAAAATAAGCTTTAAGAAAGCAAAAGTACTTCTTTCTGTATCATCAATGCCTTGAATCATACTTAACAAATAATAGGTGCTCAACAAATGCAATAATTATTTTTCTATTTTTAAAGATAATAATTTGAACTATTATAATAATAATAGTTCAATAGCAAGGTTTAGTAAAATAATATAAAGTAACCAAAGTTCTGAAATTACAATTAAATCTCACAATACCTTTTTTTATGCCTATATTTTTAAATTTCTCCTTATGCTTGGTAAGTTTGGATGAATATGTTAAAGATGAAGAAAATGGCAGGCCTGAGAGAAACAGGCCTGACCAACAGCTATTATCTCTTAGCCCAAAACAACTTAAATGTCTGTTTGCCCAGATAGCCGTATTAAGTAGGTGAGCTAAATATATTCAAGGAATGCTACTCAAAGGCACAGAAGGATTTTCTTAAGCGGGTATAAGAGTAGCCCTTCTGATATTTGACCTTGTGTGTCAAAATGCTGAAAAGCTAATTGCCTGTCACCTTTTCTTTAAAGCCTTGAATTGAAATGACAGTTGTCCTTAAAATGTCTTCAGAATTTACACTATAGTTTTCATTTCAAAGGCAGATTGTTTAAGTTTGTACTTTTGCCAAGAGTAAAATTAAAGTACACAATGAGCCAAGTGACAGCCACCTTCGGAGTTCAATAGACTTCCTCTTCCAGGACCTGAAGGAGTCTTTCCATGCCCACATCTGGAGGCCTGAGAGCCCTGCAACTGGGTCACTGCCTCTTGTGATGAGGATCACATCTGGAATTCAAACCTTATTTGTGGTGATCAATTCTAGGAGAACAAAGTTAGCTTACCTGTTAAGTACAGAAAAAGTCCATGAAAAATGAGAGGGGAAAACATTTTTTCCCTAGGAAGAGTGAATTAGGAAAATAAGGGTTTTTTTTTCTTTTAGGTGGTACAGGAGATTGAAGTCGGTACCACCCAGTAGACCAGGCACACACTGTATCACTAAGCTATACCCAGGCCTGAAAATGACTTTTTGACTAAAATTTAATCAAATTGAAATTGTCATGAGGATAATACAAGAAACATTCACTCCATCAGGGGCTAGTTATAAACATGTTGCTGGTTCATTATAGTAAGACTTATTAATATATAACCTTTGATTTTCTGATTTTTAGGCTTACCAGTATTGTAAAGCCTAAAATAATGAATATTTGATAATGAATTCCACATAAATCAATTCATTTTGATTTCTTTTCTTACTTTCTTCTTCTGAAACTTGATAGTGTCTGATTTTGGACAGTGGAGTAAACATCAAATGTTATTTAAAGACTGTTGGTGAATTTCAAGTGTAACTGGTTCTTTCCTCGGGGCCAACATGGCTAATTTGGAGTGAGCTACAATTGTCCACAGAGCTATCTATCCTGATTCTGTCTATCCTCATAAATGAATTAAGTCATATGAGATTGTAAGTTTCTTTCTAAGGCACTTGTTAATAATTTAATAGTTTGGAATATATGCATTTTATTCTTGAGTAACTTCAAATTATTAATGCCACTTCTTTCAAAAATACTTTGAAAACTCAGATAAAGTTGGCAATGAAATGTTTTAACTCTTATACTTTATATGAAAATTATGCATGCATTTCTGGTTATTTTTAAGATTGAGACTTGGGAGAAAAAAGTAGAATTATATCCTTAGTTATTCATTAAACACCTGCTTCTCTATGGAGCTCCACGAAGGATGATACTTATAATAGTACTTTCAGACATATTTCAAAGTATGTGAAAGATTTATATATAATCTTTTATAATACATGTATATGTCTAAATTTTTAAGGAGATAAAATCTTCAGAAGTAAAACAGTCTCATGAAAGCAGCTAGTATGTATATAAAGTATGGATGTATTATTTGGCTTGATATAGTCATTTCACACTTTTACAAACATCAAAACATTAATTTGCATGCCATAAATAAATATAATTTTTATTTGTCAATTATATGTTGATAAAGTGGGGAAGAAAACAGAGAAATTTCTCTTTTGCACAAAAGAAAGTGAAAGCAACTAAGTCAATTTGTTTAATGCCCTGTAAGCAAGGAATCACAGTTTTAGAGCTGGTTATAAG